GGTGTTCATCAGTTTAATGTATAATTTTTCCAGTGAAGTTCTCTTGGGGTTTCTGCTGCCTCAGATTTTCTACCTGTTGTAATTTCTCTGATTTTTCCCAGAGAGAAATCCTTTTTTATCCCTCTTTTAAATGCAGATGTCGCATACTGTTAAAGCATTTCAAATTCAGAGAAGGATTTTTTTTATCCTTACTCTCAGGTGAAGTGTATTGACTTCCATGGCTACCAACTAACTGTATGTTTTTATGATTCTAAAATGGATCCAGTTCAATTCTTTGTGTTTTGCCCACTTCCATGGAGGCTGAAGTAACCGGGTATCAAATATTGACTTTCTTTAAGCTGTGTTTTAAATGTTTCCCTGAAGAAATCAGATCCCATTTGAAAACAACCTCTTTGAACCTGTCTTCGGCACCATCAAAAATGAAACCAAGTCTGAAATTCCCTTGGAAAAGTTACACCATTACAAAGTTAAACTTCCCACTCCAGTGCTATGCAATCAGCTACGTTCTCCAATAGAATAGTTTGGTGGGCTTTCTACCCAACTGCTCCCCCTCCCATTCTAATTGGCAAAAATGACCTTTGTTTACACAGGACATTGAATTGTTTAGGCTAGCAGAAATCTTCCGCACCCTCTCCCATCTTTGCGGCAACCTAGAACGAGCCAGATGGCTGCAGTCAGGTTCATGGTAGTTGACAGCTGTCTTCCTTGAAGCATTCTGATTGCACCATGATGGTCCAAATTTTTAGTAAATAAAATAAGAATAAATGATATTTTTAAAGAACTCTTTTCTTTTCCTATTTCTTTCTCTTACCTTTAGAGAATTGTCTATTTTTCTTTACTTGTGTCCCATTGAATCAGTAGCTTAACTTTGCCATTCAAAGTTTCCTTTGAATGCAAGCTGGACGTTTCCTGCCAGGAACAAGCTGTGAGGTGCTGCTGGCACAAAAAGAAGCCCCAGAGAGCAACGCCTGGGAAGGGAAGGGGAGAAGAAGTCTTGTTCTCGGGCCTCTGCCAACACACAGGCTGCTGATGCCCAACAGCCCCATCTGCTGGGGCGGCCGGTCCCTGCAGGAAGCTCTCAGGCCCCATGGATCAGGTGGCACTCTGCCTTGGCTAGGCACCCAAGGATTTTAGGGTGTCAGTGGATGTAGGGAAGAAGGCCACCAATGTTAAAAATGGCGTAATCAATGTTAGCAGCAAGGGAAGATCACCTGAAAGTGCACAAGTGGCATAGGCACTTGGGACAGAACATCCCCGTTTCATCACTTGGGCATAACACAAGTGGCATACAATATATTACACTACTAACGTCTAACAAGAATGTTTGAATGTCAAGATACAGTACAATTCACTCTGTATTAAGAGGTGCAATACTTCTTAATGAAATGATAGGCCTTGAAGACCTGGTTTTGCCAACGGGCCTGGGAACCCAGAGTAGGATGGAGCCCATCCAGTGGCTTCTTTGACTGATTGTTGTTACCAGGGGTGGGGGGATGATCACTTTTTATTGCTTTTTATATGAGATGTTTATCTTTGTAAGCTGCCCAAAATCACTGAGAGAGAGTTAGGCAGCCATATATATAATTTCCTCTATTTATATTTGTCTGTATATGCCAATGCAAACAAGACTTTTTTGCTGGGATATGAGAAACACTCCTATGGAATTTCAGACCTGATTTAACTTTTTGAACAGTGCCCCCTCTAAGGAAGGCTTCGTTGTGCTCCCTGAGTTTGGATGCAGTTTGGATGAGTTTCTTGCAGACATTTCATTACCTGATTAGGTAACATCTTCAGTGCTAGAAGGGAGTGGGGTTTGTTCTCTGTTTAGCTTGCCCTGCCAGTGTTGGTGGGGGTGTGGCTTTTTCCTTGGTAATTCCTTGATTAGACTGTTGTTTATTGTTCCATTGCTTCTCTGGTGTTAATCCCTGCTTATCTGGATGTTGGCTGCTGGAAAGAATGTGTTCTGGTCTTTTTATTTCCTTTTTCAGGTTGTTTATTGCCTCTTGAATGGTGTGTAAATATTGTTCATATCGGGGTGCCTTTTAATGGCTGATTTATCTGAGTGTGAAGCTTCCAGGAATTCCCTAACATTTTAGACTTATCTTGGTCTAGGATGCTCATGGTTTCCCTGTTTATTAGAGTTTAGTCTGTCCATGTGTTGTGAAATTAAGTGTTCTGGCTACTAGTTGCTGTTCATGGATGTGCTCTGCTACTCTTCTGCTAATACTGGCTGTTACGGTCTTTACACTGCGTGTTGTAGATGACTACTTTTTCTTTGTCATGAGCTATTGTGTCATTTGGTTTATTTAAGATGTTTTGAAGGGCTTCGGTTGGCTTGTGTGCTACAGTGATGCTGCGTGATGTCGTGCTGGGTTGGTTGAAATATTTTTGATGTGTGGCAATGCTATCCTTTTCATAGACTGTGTTGGTTGTGCTGTAATGGGTTGAATAGTCAGACCCCTTGACCACATAGTCTGCTGTCAGGACATAATTGTGGAGAAGAGGACTGAGCTTCACCTAGAGCAATACTGGAGAAACACCCTTCCTCTCCTCTACAAAATACACATTTCAACCTCCAACCCATGAGGAGCATCCGGAGGCTTCAGCTGGTCCAGAATGCGGCTGCGCGGGCGGTGTTGGGAGCGACGCGTCGCTCCCATGTAACGCCGCTGCTGTGCGAGCTGCACTGGTTGCCAGTGGCCTTCCGGGTACGCTTTAAGGTGTTAGTTACCACCTTTAAAGCGCTCCATGGCATAGGACCTGGATACCTCCGAGACCGCCTTCTGCCACAGATTCCCTCCCACAGACCGGTACGCTCCCACA